GGGGCTCCTGAGGCCCCCCGCCAGGAATAGGGTTAAGGGATCGTATGAGCCCATGTGGCGTTGCTCAGAAAGTATTCTCGAAATGTGCTGTCTGTTTTGAATATGGTACATTAGCCCGAAAACTGGTCTCTGAGACCGAAAATGGGGATACTGTTTTCTCAGTGAGGGCGACCGAAGGTGAGCAACAAATCTATTGAATTGTTCATTGTTTATCAATCAGTTAAGCAATTAGACGGTTAGTAATTAATCACATGTAGTAGTTACTGCTATACTTAGTTACTACACAGTACACAGCCTGATACTTCACATGAGGCCCAGATGATTAGGTATGTTCATTAAAAAGCAGCATACATTGGCATCAATTGACGAAGAACGTCACAACAGCAGTCAGCACAGCTATAACATCAGTCACATTTAACTTTCTCTCACCGTTTCGAGGATGCCGCTCTTGGTGTGATCGATTCCAGCCACTGCAGCAGCTCCAACTTGGTCGAACGTCAGACCATTCTGCTTAACAATTAGCGTGTACGCGTGGGGCACGGCCGCCTAATGGCTCAGGAGGTTCGATGCAGCTAAATGGTTAAGTAGTTCAGCGGCGAATTTCAATTGGCAGCAACAGGATAATTCCCAAACGGCGATAGGCCAAAGCTGGCAAGCATCATTTCAAAGTTATTTATTTGAGCTGTACTGATTTAGAAAAACAAAATATATCCAAAATATATAAAACAGAGAGAGAGAGAGAGAGAGAGAGAGAGAGAGAGAGAGAGAGAGAGAGAGAGGGAGAGAGAGGAGGGAGAGAGAGAGAGGGAGGGAGAGGGAGATGGAGGGAGAGAGAGGGAGAGGGAGAGATGGAGATTGAGAAAGAGAGAGAGAGAGGGAGAGGGGGAAGGGAGAGGGAGAGGGAGGGTGAGAGGGAGAGGGAGAGTGTGAGGGAGAGGGAGCGAGAGAGAGGGAGAGGGAGAGAGGAGAGAGATACTATGACTGATCTGAACAGCGCATCCTCAGCAGGATCGCTACCCCCGTCCCACAAGATATACCCCACGGACCACCCAACGGACCACGCTATAGCCCAATATCACCGAGTAAGCCATTCCCCACAATCACACCTATCCGTGCTTCTATCCTCAGGATACTGAAATCCTTCTCCTCCAGGCCGCAACCCCCCTCCGGGCTGGACAGGCAACTTTATCTCATGCGGGCTGCTCCCTTGGAGCGGCACCGCTGCTCCTGAGGGAGCGCACCCCGTAGCCGGGTGCAGTGAGTGCCTTGGGGCTGGGTGGCCTGTCCTCTGGACGGGCTCAGCCCCGGCGACTCACTAGGGTGCCTGCCCAGACCAATGTCTCCCCCTAATTCCTATCATCCTTCCGGCTCTGCAATGGTCTCGACCGAAAGGGCCTAACCTAACAAAACAAACAAACAAAATCCCCACAACCACAACCGTCCATAGCGACTTTCATCACCCGGCGCAGAATCGTGTTGGCCCGTGTCATCTGCATCCGGGAGCCGGGCGTCGTGCTCTCATATAATACCGGCCCGCGGGCATGTACCGGCCAATCAGCATCGTTCATATAGAGCCGGCCTGACCGCCGGCGGGCACATATAGGGTCGGCCCTTATGTACCGATATTGGATCGCCTCCCAGCTCACCGCCGCTGTCACCGCTCCTCCGTCAGTTGGGGTCAGATATACACCGCGTCTATCCTCTTCGTGTTTTTTTTCGCAAGTGGTACCTAGAGCGTGTTTACTCAGCTCTCCATCTTACAGCTCTCTTATTTGTCTATCCTTGCTTCACTCTCTCCCTGGTTGTCCGTAATCTAACCACCGCTCATCATCTCTGTCCGTTTTTTCTCTCTCTCCCTCTCTCTCTCTCTCTCTCTCTCTCTCTCTCTCTCAGCGTCTCTACATTACGTCTCCCTTTTCCCGTCCTCCGTCTCTCCTATCCCGTGACCGCCCGTCCTGCCGACCCGCCCGTCGCCCGTCGGTCGCAGCTGACGACGGTCGCCGCCCACCGTCCGCTCTTGGCGGGGGCGGGGGCGGGGGCGGGGGCGTCCAGCCGGAGCGACGATTCGATGCCCGTCGGCCGTCGCTCTCGACTGTCGGTGTCGTTTCCGGCGGCGGCATCGATGAGCAGCGACGACGAGAAGGGACGCTGGCGACGGGGTGGACGTGTGGGCGACAATTCGTTCAGTCAATTCGTTCAGTCGCAACGAATTGACGGGAGGCCGTGAGGGCGACAAGAGCGCACCTCAGTTCTCAGTTGGTTTCCAAGGTGAGTCGTGTGCTGTTACCGGGTAGTTGAACTCCGATGCATAAATTTGTCCTATTTGTATTCGAAGGTATTCTCATATCTCGATATCTCGGCATCATTGAAGTCACCGACGAAGGCACGTTAACAACCACTATGGAATACATGCTTTATACATTTTTTCACTGATGGAGGACAGCGAGGTAGTCCAGTAAACTCATTCCTGAAGACAAAGCAAAGTGTGGACGATTTCTTTGGATAATCGTGGTGCAGGCTTGCTTTACTTAGAAGTCGCATAGGTCAACGGTATAGGATTGGGATTAGCTTTGGGTAACAGTTTGGGCTGATTTCTGACGTCCGTGCCAATTCCATCTACTCCATCACCACGATTGAAGGAAAACAATCGTGTTGAAGCACCCTAAGTTACCTAGAACTTTCGGAACGAACCCATCGCTTGTCCGAGACTTTGCGACTCAGTGATTCTGTGGCCGGCGTAATGCGCGACGACTTTTTGGATCGATAAGCAATAAGTACCAATACCACTTCGCCCAGGTAGGCATAGCAGGCTTACTATGAAGCTAGCTGAAGACTGACGGATGGCCGTCACTGAGCTTTTTCTATCCGACCAGGCAACGCCTCCGTGAGAGGTCGGTGTCAAGGTCAGTGCAGAGGCGGCGCCAATATGAGGTACCTATTTTCGTCAGCAATACCCGCACCGTTCATGTTAGACTTCCCTGAAGGCATCACTAGCCGCAGACCTTTTGGCAAGTCACTATTTGACATGGTAAAATGTTACGTTCAGGCTTTGTGGTGAAATGCTGGGATACATTGCGATAGCAGCAAAAAGATGAAACTTCCGTATCTGCCGTCTGTCAAATCTGCTTATTCACCCACCAGTGACCAGACTTTAAAATAAAAATAAAACGCACACAATCTATATATTTCCTGTATCACAGATGGGCTCCTCAGCTCTCGTATTGACTTCTTGTGACGTCATATCACGTCACGAGCACACGACCTCAACGCCAGCTGACGAGAAAAGCTCGCGAACACAAACAGCCAGCTGACCACTGATGACGTCACGAAAATACGCGACACCGCGACACAACGCCTTCGCCAGTCTGAGAAAAGTCGCCCAACTTACTGTCGGTTTTCGACACATCGACTTTCTCCTTATGCAACATGGCGGCCGTCCCAGCGTTCAGACATGGTCCAAACACAGCGCACACAGACACATTCGCAACATGGCTGTCAGATGCCGATAGAACAGAGCACGACAGTCATGCAAGACAAGGCGAGCACAGTGAACATTGAACAAAGTCGCTGCTTTTCAAGGTTCAGATGGGCAGCGTGGATACGATTTCTCAGCTCATGGTTGGGTGACCCACGCAGTTGCAACGGCCCGCTGGGAGGCTCAGCGATTTTGCTTAAAATATGGTCCATTAGCAGCGGCTACACTTTGTCTGAAAGTATGGATGAATATACATTGTGTACGACAACTGATCATCAGTTGGGCCATACGTGCAGATGCGTCATGTAACATGTTTTATGGAAAAGACTAAAGTACCGCAAAATTATAAATGGAGAGATGAAGCCAAAATGAGCAATAACTGAATGTTGAACCGCAACGGTCTCGATGTCGAACAACACAACATTTAAAGAAACACGAGAAAAATAAATAGGCACAAATAAACCAGCGAGGCGTTTCAATTTCGTTCCTAATCGTTGAAATGCCCAAAAGCTTAACACATTATAGTATTGTCGACTACAGAAGATGAACGGCACGCTCCTGTACAAACAAGTCACACTACAGACACACAAACAACACCTATTTGGCGCACAATCGCAGCTACATTTCCAGTCATCAAAACATCGGCATTACGTCCAAAAGAGTTCAGCCGATCTGTTCCCATTGACCAACACGATCACATATACATCGATAAGCACACGCAGCGTCACTTGCCTGACTATTTGTCGGGGGTAAGTTACAAAGAACCTCGTCTTGTATCAGAGTTCAAGCTCTGACATCCATATGCCTCGACTCATGTGTCACCCCATGTGTCTTATTTTGACTGACACTATGCCACACCTGACACACTATGCCACCAGCGGACATTGCAGCGAGAACGTACAGCTCTGGAGAGAAGCAGGGCAAGAAAGGCACGTCAGCTCCCCAGCAAAACAAGAGTCCAAGTGCAGCACCCTGAGAACAGCTCCGAGCTAGAAATTTGATCAAAATACCAACAGCACGACGGTTAAGAAATAATCGTTACTGTTCGGAGATGATGCTTGGTGTAAAGCTGCCGAAGAGTTGCCGTGCAGGCTAACCATACCAACCGAGTTCTAGACCGCTCAGAAGGCTGCGCGAACTTGTTCTAATCGTATTTGTCTAGTGGACAGCCGTGTACCATCTCCAAGTGAACAGCCACATGACATGCCACTTTACACTTGGCATGGACACTGTCACAACTCTGTGTTGTTCACCAAGGCATGCCACATAGCTGGCCGTTTACCTGAAACAAACAAGTGATTGATGTTGAATTATGAGTAGCAATTATTAGCGAACGTCCACATTTAATTTAACTGATAACTATTCATTTCCAAAGTCACAACAATCGAAGCAACGAAAAAGCATTGCGACGAAACGCGTATTCACAAGCGGAATGTTTGATATTTTAACAATATTCTTTTTAATTGAGGTGTAAGCTATAAGAAAACATTGCAGCCAATCCAGCGCGCCGCACCCCTACCATTCAGCGTGTCGCGTTGCTAGGAGACGCCGTCCTGTCGGGCGCCGGCGACTGCCGCCGGCTGTCTCCGGGAGCGCACTATCCTCAGGTGTCTCTGAATGTACTCCTCGTGAGGGGCCAAGTGAACCGCCCGCAGCAGGCACTGCTCGGCCCTGGCCAGCTCGGAACGCTCCACGTACACCACACACAGGTTGTGCAGACCCTGTACGTGGTCAGGGTCCAGACGCAAAATGTGCTCGTAACACTGCGGAGGCAGGGGGAAGGGACGGTCAGTCAGTGGCTGCACTGAGAGTCCACATGTGAGGTATAGAATGGCGAAAAGGCAAAAAATAACGCATTTTGAACCAGGAAATATCCCAGAAGAGCGCAGAAAGTGGAAGTTAAGAGCAATCAGTCAAAAACATTATGTAATTAATGAAGAACCATTATTTTTACTTACGTTAATCGAATAGCAGGCACCTCAGACTCATCTCTCAAGCTCTCTTTTTACGAGACCTTAAACTAAAATAGCTGTTCTGAGTTCTGACATATAAGTGTTTTGAAAAAGCGAACAAAATCTGTCACACATACCCGTTCCGCCTCATCCAGATCCTTCATATTGTTGACGTATATGTCTCCCAGGAGGATGAAGGCCTTGATGTGGTCTGGGTGATGATGGACCAGGTGGTGCAGAAAAGGGGCGGCCTCCAGCGGCCTGCCCGAGTCACTCAGTAGGAGCGCCAGGTTGAACAGCGCACTACGGAAGTCGGGCTTCAGTTCCACTGCCTGTCAATGAGAGCACAGGAGGAATTCTAAAAGCAGCGACATTAGAAAAAAAAACACGTTGCATATTCATCTGAACGGCAACAGATATTACTGGCTTAGATGAGTCGTTTCACTGGCAATGTATTAGGCCTAGGGTGATAGATTGTCGCATTGGTTTGAAAAGTCTAGCCTTATCTCACGAGGAAAGCTGATTTTGTCGAAGTTCCCACGTCTGAAGAGCCTCTCTTGAACGTTTATTGCCTTCCCCCAGGTGATCTCAGATTATAAAAGTCTCGCCTGTAGTATCCCCCCGAACACTGGCTATCTGACGTCCGAGTGGTTCTTTGAATTCATATCCGTCTAAACATTCCACATCCGTTCTGAAAGAACATCTCACAAGACTTAACCCTATTAGTGGCAGGCTCCTGGCTACCCCTATTAGTGGCAGGGGGGGCTGTTTACGACCCCCCTTGATATCTCGAGATCTAACGGGCCGATTTTCAAAATTCAAACGGCATTCGATTTCGCTCAACGTGATCTACATTTCTAAAAAATAAAAATTAAAAAATGTCAATAGGGGGGGGGGTAGAGGGGGGTAAAAACGGGCAAATTGCAGATACATTTTAGACTGTTTATCACGGCCAAGTTTCTGAACCAATCTTAACGCAACTTTTGCCGATCGATAGAGAATGAACCAGGAATTCACATGGATCCTAAAAATATGCATTTTCAAAAATCATAGGCGGATACAGATCATTGAGATTGGGGGTACACAAAAAGTATAGTAAATAAGGTTTTTGTTGGTACTGTTTCTAAAAAGGGTGGTCATGGTCTTGTTATGTTACAATTTTCTTATGAGAGAACGACTACAATTGTATTGGTCATGCATAGGCGGTGTCAGGGCACCTATGTTGGGAGGTAAAACATAACCCCCCTTTTTGGACGCCTGGATCCGCCTATTATAGCAAAAACGTGTCAAAAGAGGATGCACAATAACTGTATATGTTATCACATGATACCTTTCATTCACTGTTCGTAAAACTGGTGCAGCATCGTGATCTTCGCTCAAATGACTCGCTTCACGAATAGGACCCCCAATTCCCAGTGCTCTGGAGCCGCCCCTGGTAAAGTTATGAACTTGAAATTTTCAGGGAATGTGCCCAATTTAGTTTTAGGAAAAGTCAGAAAATTTCAGCATCGTAGCTTGAGCGGTTTCGGAGATATTCCCGAAAAACCTGAGGGGTGGATAAAAACAACCCCCCCCTGCCACTAATAGGGTTAATAAGACATAAGCACACCTTTCCAATGTTCCTTTAGATCCAATCCATACTCCATTGCCAGTAGCCTTCCTGTTCTCGACACTGCCGTCTCTCCACAACAATCAAAAGCCACCCTAGAGTGGATTCCACCACCTCTCTGCCGTCCTTACCTTCCTGAAGTGCGCCTCGGCGGCGGGCAGATCACGCTCGTCCATGGCCAGCATGCCCAGGTTGAAGTGGACCCTCTCGGCTCCCACCACGGCCGGCGAGAGCTGCAGCAGCCGCCGGAGACGCAGCCGCGCAGTCGGCCGTAGTCGCGCCGCGCCCGACTCCTGGATTATGGCGGCCGAGTTCAGCAGAGCCTGCTGGTGGTCCGGCTCAAACTCCAGCGCCTTGTCCAGGTAGGCCAGAGCCTGTGCCTGGCGACCCAGCTCCAGGTACACGATACCCAGCTGAAATGAGACAACAGGGATCAGCGGGTTCTTGCGGGTAGTTGGTATCCTGCCTGGCAGTTACTTTATAACTATAATATGCCATAATGCATCAGCATTGTTATTTACGTTCCATTGATCACGTTAGATATGTCGTACTTCTTGTATGGCTGTCTTAGTACTCAAGTAAAAAAGATGTCCTCACATCAAGTAATAGTAGATGACCGGGTTGTTTTTACGCTAAGTGTTACGATACTCACGTTATAGTAGATGTCCGGGTTATCGTTGTCGTAGAAGAGCGCCGTTTCGTAGGTGCGCTGCGCCTCTCGGGTCCGGTTCAGACGCACCAGCACGTCGCCACGGTTTATGTACGCCTGGGTGTAGTCGGCCCGCATGCTGATGGCCTGGCGGTAGAGGGTGTCGGCCTCCTCCAGTCGCGCCGGGTCCCGCGACACCAGGTTCGCCAGGTTCAGGAACACGGTCAGGTGGTTAGGAGCCACGCGCGCCTCGTACGTCTCGCCAGATTTGGCCTTCGGTAGCAGAGACTTAGCCTGTGAAACGGAGAAAGCAGTAAAAATAGAGCGTCCGACTGAGCTCTAATTGTATAATTGTTTTTGCTTCATGTATGGTCCAGGGTAAAATGGATTACTGTGTTTCTGTATTAAAAATGTCAAGTAACACTATACTATACCGTTTCTGTGGATTAGCATTTGACCTTTTCAAAATGTTTAATACCATAGTACACGAATTTCATTTCAGTGTAACAGCGTTTCTCTGCTGAATTTCTCGGCAGCGCTGACAGGAGAATCCCCGAGGCGGCGTTGACAGCGTTAATCCAATGTACCTGTGACGCGACATGACGTTCACTGCCGCCGTTCCTCTGTCTGGCACCTCAGGGAGCTAACTCAGTCAGACCGACAGTCAGTCCAGCCGGATCGGCCAGCTTAGTCATTCAGCTAGCCAGCAGAGCAGGTAAAATGTCGAAATAATCTATGGCGTCCGTAGTCTTGCCGTGAAAGCGACAGAGACAAGAAAAAAACACAAAATGCATGATATAAAATATTATTATTTAAGTCCGTCTATACACTCGGGAGCTGAAAATCATGATTACTTTTGGAGACGTCAGCCTTCAAAGACAGCATTTTCGTTTTTTGTGGAAGAGGCTAATTTATCACGTTAGGGAGTCTATATGATGGTTGGAAAGGCACTTAATTAAGTACGACAGCATGCTGAAGAGACGTACTGTGAATGTATGTAATGTACATACAACACATGCAAGTGTACATGCTGCGATTCATGACTGACCTTCATGTACGCCTCCTCAGCTTCGGTGTACATTTGGAGGCTGTTGTAGGTGCGGCCCACGTTGATGTAAGCACCTATGTCGTCGCCTTGTACCCTGGAACATAAAACAATACCGTAAGTTCCCCCTATGGACAATGAAGTGCCGAAGCGTCGCATAGTGCTTCGTTTGGGAAATCGAGCTGGAATAGAAAGACTGCGAAGAAAGCACGTTGTTTGATTCTAAAATTTCAATCCATTCATTCCGTTCAGTGCATTACATGACCACATCGCTTTTTCAGACATCATTCTTAGTATCACCTTTTAACATTCCATCCCCCTTAGGCTAGTCTCCCTTAGGCTTGACATCACACCTAAGCCGAAAATACCTCGCCATCGCATCTCCGGTGATACACCCTTGGCGCAGGCGTTTACAAAAAACAACAACATGGTGGCCTGCGGCGTCTCGCGGAAACAGGAGACACATAACGGGGTGTCCCGGGGGAGCGCGAGCTTCCAAAGCTCTTGGCGCCATTTCGGCGCCACCTTCGCGGCATCTTAGTGGTGGCGCGACGCGGGCTCTGATCTCACGCTAAAATATTCATGCTGTTTTTAAAAGCGTATCTGCCAAATGGCAGGCTTGTCAAAGTTTGTCGGCGCCGCTGGTTCCGGCGACAGACAGCCGGCAAAGTTGGCGCCGAGTGGAAAATGTCCCGGCCGCCCGGCACTTCCAGTCTGCTGGGACTGGCGCCGGCGCGTCAACTCTGCCACGTCTGTCTGGAGGCACCGGACTGAAGCAGTTTACCGCGTCTGGAGGCGCTGGACTGGATATAGCTATCTCAGGGGACTGTGCCCCTCCCTTGTCACAGAAATAAGTTATTCTGATGATGTGTTTAAAAATGGCCAGTAAACAAGTTTGTTTTAATGAACAGGGGGGTGCTTAAAGACGGCGAGTCAGCATATCTGGCAAGTTTCGTAGCTACACATTGTTGTACCTACTGCTGCTACATAAGCGCTTACATTGTTTTCGCATGCCGATTTATTGCCTTTTTATCATAAAATGATTCATTTATAACAACGTAGTACCACTTTATCATTAGCAAATTACTCATTGCCGTTTTAATACACGAGAGAGAAGATTTTGCAATTCTACTGTTTTCTTCCCCATTGAGTTGTCACTTAGATGTTTAGTTTATTGGTACATTGATCCTCGAATCCCATCTACACGAGCCATTGTTTGTCTCCAAGTTCCGATCGGATCCCGCTGGGGCCGATGGCCAATTTCGTTTGGTTTTCGGGTCAGCACGCGCCGCATGTGTCCAACTTACGCTGGCGGCGGGTGACATTAAGGGCCAATAGGAGGGGAGCCAGGACGCGGCCGCGGTCACCGCGCTGACAAGAGATCGCCGCCGTGATATATCGCCCCAATCAGCCTGTGCCACGATGGTCGGGATTCGCCACACCAGCGGCGGCGAATGGCCCTTACGGCACGGCGCCAGTGGTGGTCAGTGTCGGCCCAGCGGTCAGAGCCACCCCCTGCCGACTCTGTGTAATGAAGAGCTGATCGACGGACAGAGACGCACGCCAAAGACATTCCACAATACCTCCAGCGAGAGCGAAGCCTTTCCCAGATGCATTGAGAATGATTGATACAACGAAAAAGAGCATAATCTCCTTTCTAGCATAACGTTGGTGTAAGAAGCCGGTTAGAAACCGTTCGGATCCTCTATTCACCCCGCAAAAAGAGACGGCCTGTAGACAATGGCGGTGTCGCCAAACATGCGTCATGAAGTTTGTGAGCGGGACTATTTATGTGAGCGTGCGACCACGGTCAGCTTTCAACCTTCACCCATGATTGTCTGCCGGTGTGCAAAGATTAAACCGCTCATCACTGGTCCGATTATGACAATCTTTACATGTAAGTGGAATGACGAGCTTATCATTCCAATTTGCAGTGGTGTTTTATCAAATGACGAACATTCAAGTAAATCCAGTATTCATTGTTATCGATTTTTCTGTCGGCAGCAAGTGCCTGCAAATAAATCAAACGCATGGTGGCGAGCAGCAGCGACCTCCTGGGATTGAATCTATTTTTAGAGAGCCCGCAGTGGCGATAAACGCCAGCGGCGAGGGTTAGTTAGTGTTGTGGCCCCTACGAGGAGGTCCGTAGGCGCCTGAAGTTATACTGCACCGCAGGGACCTGTTACTGAATGCAGCAAAATAGGCGCCTGACGCTATACTGTTCCGCAAAGACTACAGCTTCGTCCCCAGATGGCAGCAGCAGTGTGGGCGCCTGAAGGTAAACTGTGCCGCAGATATTACAATTTTGTCCCTAGGTGGCAGCAGTGTGGGCGCCTGATGGTATACTGTGCCGCAGAGATAAGAGCCTTGTCCCTAGATGGCAGCACTGCAAACGCCTGAAGGTATACTGTGCCGCAGAGAGTTCAGCTTTGTCCCTAGGTGGCAGCAGTGTGGGCGCCTGGAGGTATACTGTGCCGCAGAGATTACAGCATCGTCCCTAGATGGCAGCACCGCGAACGCCTGAAGGTATACTGTGCCGCAGAGTTCAACCTTGTCCCTACTATGGGCGCCTGGAGGTATACTGTGCCGCAGAGATTACAGCATTGTCCCTAGATGGCAGCACCGAATGCGCCTGAAGTTATACTGTACCGCACAGCTCACTGTATCTCTGCGGGCTTTGCGTCATGCGTTTTTTTTTTGTGACAGCAGAAGACTGACGCCAATGACATCCCTTCAAGGGGACAGCAAAAGACAAATATAAGCCCTCGCCAACTCCGACTTCTCAACTTACTTGACAGCCTGCTGGAAGAATTTGAGCGCCCTCTCGAACTGCCGCTGGCCTTCCAGTGCATGACCGACGTTGTTGTACAGCTTGGCGTTATTCCTGTTGACGCGCAGGCCGGCAGTGAAGATGGAGTACTCGTCCCTCCAGTCGTGGTTCCGCCGGTACGTTTTCAGGCCGTGCGTTAGTAGCAGGACGGCCAGCGCGGCGTACAGAACGCTGCGACACCGGCTGTCGAATAGAGAACGGCCCGGTCAGCTTTCATGGGCTAAGGCTGGTAATGCATGGTCATGCTTATGGCTGTGGTCGTAATTATGCTGATTTTGATCATCATTATAACTCATCATTATAGTTTGGCCATAATCCTAATTTTGCGCGGCTATGATGATAGATCATTTAGTGTAAATACCGACAATTAAGGATCCTGTCAGTGTCCCATGCCAGGCAATATTTTTCTTCAGAATGCTGCAGTAAGAATATTTATTCTTGCTTAAATGCTTTTCGTCAATAATGAAGAGCATTATGTATCGTCGCTAAAATATTACACCTAAATCCATCTCCATGTTTATGACTAGAGTTTGTTTGTCGTTTATATAATTTCAACGGATCATCCATTCTCGCTCGTTGCTTTCCTTACCTTACCTTACCTTACCTACACTTATCGGGATTTAGAAAGGCACAACGCCTGAAGGTCCCGATCTTGTCGAGTAGGTTCTGGATACACTAGGTTAAATCTTGGGTTGGCACTGGGCTAAGGTAAAGTTTTTTTTTCGTTTTTAAAGTGAAATAATCTTTTATGATTGTAGAGTCCTTTTGCAGCGGGAGGGTGGGCCGACAAAGCTCCAAAGAGAGTCGACACTGACAGTTACAGCGGGCATTATGTCAGACGAGCTGCCTTCGTACGACCATTGAGTCAACAAATCGTTCAACAGCGACCAGTTGAGTGACTGTGTAGCCCCGTGAAAAAGTGTGTCCCATAAAAACATCGCTCTAACGGATGCATGCTAAAGGGCAAAACATTGACATAACTGACATAAAAGAAACAAAGTTGGCGAACACATTGATTGGCTATCAAATGCACTTGAAGATGAAATTTTCCGAAGCCAAAGATTTATTCGTGGTTGCTCCCTGCCGTAGCAAATTATTACTTTGACTAGTACGTAACGGACTAATCATAGATTAGCTCATGTAGATCAGCACACTAGCTTGGCTAGTTTACTGACTAAGCAAACCAGTGCCACAAACATGTAAATTTTACAACTCAATCAATAACCAACGTAGCTTCGATTGCAAACTTCTTGGAATCATCTGCGTCCCATCGCTTCGAACCAGTCATCAAAGACAAGTGGCACTGTTAGATATCACAGAGCCGCCCTTCACTGTCCTCACCAGTCGACTGTTGGACAGGCCCGACCGCATAAAACTCAGTAATAATTAACGCCCCGACCGGCGGGGTGGCCGACCGTCGGACTTATGGGCAAACTATGCTAAGCACGGAAGTCTTTATTGCGAAATCAATGGTCGCTACAACAGAGCGGCGGACATCCATAACGGCAGCATGTACGTACGCGCGACGAGTCGGCGTAAATTATGGCGATTTTCAGCAGCCAAATGGCTGGCAGCGAGGCGAATCGTTCGACGGCGGTCGGTGGTCGACGCGGCCCAACCGGCCGACGATCCGACCGTCCATCGGCCCGGTCATCCGCCGAGCGGCGCTCGTTGGCGGCCCGAACGACCGCTCTAGTCGCCCCATATGTATCCGCGGCTGGCCCGCAGAACCGAGGGCAGACCACAACCGGTCCGCGGACTGGACCACACGTCAGACCATCATGGACCGCAGACCGACCACGGACCACTGCATAGAGCGCTATCGGACCACAGACAGGACCACGCGTCAGACTTAAGGCCGCCGTCCACTGTGCGGAACGCGTGGTCCGTACGGAATTTAACACAGAACCCTATGGACGCATCCGGTCCGTACGGAAATCGTGTGCGCTCCGTGCGGACCGCATCCGAACGACAATCAGCTGTTGATTTTCCGTCAGCTCTCCGCAAGCGTTTCGGAAGCGGTTGCTACGGAAACGAAATAACAAAGTCCGACATGTTGAACTTTTCTGCGGAGAGCGCAGGCGGAACGGGCGCGGACAGGTGCAGTCTTCCGTCTTCGAGTTTTCAATTGCAGATTTAAGAAATAATTTCAATTCTTTCAAGATGAAGTAAGTGAACTCAAGTTCCTTGACATGGCAGCACCATGTTATGCTAGTAAATTGCAATATTTTCTTTTGTAATAACTGATAATTGCTCTTCACAAAGTGTTCGCCAGTGTCCGTGAGCTTTCCGTCTGCGGTCCGGATGCGGTTAGCGTGCGGCGACATTCCTGACGGACTCCGGACGGAATTCCGTCGCAGTGGACGGCGGCCTTAACACAGACCGCGGACCGACCACTACAGATACAAAAGCAGATCTCCACGGACCGAGGACTTGACCATAGAGTTAGCTGCTGTCCAGACCGTAGGCCGCAGTCTAGACCCACCGAGATCGCATAGTGAATACAGACCCGGCCAAAGACCGCACCAGTTCTCACCGGCACTACTGTTCCTGCTCACTGGTCCGTTCCTTCGGACCGTGGTTTCAGGTGATGCGTTTTGGATCACGCAGTACATACGTCCCCGGGTCGATACCCATGATCGGGGTCTTTCAGAACCTTACGGAAACTCCAGCTCCATCAAAGCCTGTCGTGACCGCTTAGAGCCTCTGGAAATCCATCGGCGTCGTAGATGATAGCCAACCATCGCTGGCATATGACTTCCCGGCTACGTAATACCGATACATCCGGTATATAATAGCTCCGTTTTATAGGCTGTGTGGGAATGAAATGATCAGATATGACCGAATTGCCCCAAATAAAAATAGGTTGTTACTGCGGAGGGGGGCTATCGGTGGGGGCTATCACATATAGGTATTCCGTGTTTTTCGAAAGTCGAAAAAACTGTTTTGGATTTTTTGGCAGTTCTTTCATGTTTTTATTTTTTGGGGTCAAAATGTAAAAAAAAATCAAAATTTCGAGATAGCCATTTTGTAGCCCTGGTATTTTTACATCTTTTATGTCGTAAACGTTTTTCTGTATCTTCAACGCTATAGGCCTGACAGCTCTTCCCACGCAACCTTTTTTTGGGGGTCGAAAACGGCAGAACATGACGTCACTCTGACGTCATTTGCGGCCAACCTATCATAGCCTTTGGAACTTTCTTTTTGATCACAATATGTAAAATTGATGCCCGGAAGGGTACTAAGTTTGGTGAGGATCGGCGCAGCGGTTCTGGAGATATATTGAAAAGTATGGAGGGGGGGCAAAAAATAGCCCCCCCCCCCACACCAGGTCGCGGGTTAAGCCTATATGGATTTGCATGTTTCATCACGTTCGTTGGCTTGCTTTAAAAAAAAAAACAGCACCTTTGAGAGCCAACAACGAATGAACTGACTAACAAATGAAATAATAAATGAATGAATGGCGGATAACTGGGCGCTGTCATATCCCCGCCAGCGCGCTGTCGCAGCGGAAATGGGCCGGTTGCGCGCTGCCGCTCCGGACCCGGCCGGGTCCTGCTCATCTCCGGATGAAATGTCAATGTAAATACCGTCTCGTTAGAGTTAATGGGCACGTGGGGCGGCGGCGTCATATGAGAGCCGGCCGCTACGGATGGTGTGTGCTCTGTCACCGTTCCGAGCTCGCTCATAAAGGTGGCTGGCTCTGCCCGTGGTGACGAATAACGGGGTGCTGGCGACCAGGACTGAGCGGACAATGACATGTTGATAGACGACTAGAGCCCTAACGGGTTTTACAGCCGCTTCAACAACACGATTATAGCCAATCGCGGAAATCGTTCGAGCCAGACGTTTAGGTTTTATCAACAGAAGACATTAAGCTGCATATGAGCGCTAGTTGATTTTCTTGGCGTTTCATGAATGTCTGCTCAATTCAGCAGCAATAAATTTTCACGGTCGTAAACTATGCAGAGGGGACAATCAATGAGACACATTGGCCATTTCGGTGTCCTATTGTGCTTTTACTCCTGAGTCGTTTGCATCCAGCGGATTAATAAGTAATGAGAAGGCGCCGGCTGGCGGCCGTTCGCCGGCCACCGTATGGGCTCGGAGGCCGGCGATATAGGGCCGCTTCATGGCATTCGTATCCGCTCGCGACATGACTGCTGTCGCGACGGCGGCCAAGATTTCCCAGGGGCCCCCTGCAGCGGCGTCACTTAAAACTATGAGAGCCGGCGGCGGCGGCCGCGTCGTGCTCAGGCCGCCCCAAGACCGTCTCCGCCCGAATACAACTCATTCCAACAGAAACGCGCTAGCCGGAAGAGGGCACCGCTTATCGGCGCAAAGTTTCTGCATGTGTTGGCGGAAACAGAATGGCTTAATTTAAAGGTTAATTTAGCACCAACTGTCATGGTAAAGTTTCTTTTAATTTCTCCGTAATCTAACAGGCTCAATTTTCAGCAGTTTCCAAGCTGCGTGCTCTTTGTTAGATATGTCTGATTTATTTCAAAGCTTACAAACTTACGCTTTAACTTTTAAGACTAGGAATCATTGCCGCCATTTGGTAACCGTATCCTATACTTAACGGTTCCATCAGAGGTCCCCAGTTCTCAGCACTAACCCGTGACTCAGCAGCACGCAGAATCCGGCGGCCACCAGCAGGCAGAGGCCCATGGACGGCATGTACAGCACCCTCTCGGCCACCACGAAGCCGACGGGGAAGAACAGGTTGCTGGCTGGCAGGTACGGCAGCACCAGTAGCGCCAGACTCTGTGGGAAGAAGACGATGAACTCAGCCGCCGGCGCACCGGTACAGCGGGTGGGTTTTAATTAGTATTTTGGTTGTTACTACGTGCGTGGATTCTGGGGGAAATATTGAGCTTTATCAGGGTATATATGCAGTGGATGGAGGGAGGGATGATGCTCTAAAACATGTTCTAAAGATGATTGGTGCCCTGCGTTCTCAGTGGTCGTCCACAGGGAGAGAGGGAGGAGCGCGGCTGATGGAGAGGCGGCTGCGGTCGCGGTGGGGAGAGGGAGGAGGGGGCGGTGAGAGCGTGGTCGCCGGTAACTCTCTGAAATGGCGACACCGATTGGACATTGACGCAGATGGAGCCCCATGGCGCGGCCGCAGCACGTCCAGAGAACGGTGATCTCTGATCGGGTCGGCCAGCGCTGAGAGAGCGCCACCGAAAAATCGACAGGTAGGGATGAACACCACATTTTCAGAAAAATGAAAATCTAAGTAATAGTGTCGTCCTATGGTCACGATAGATGCATGATAAGAATTTGAAACATTGCATATGATTTTTACATGATCACCAACTGCAATCGACATAGGTACCATCTACCGACGAATCATGGTCATAACAAATGATAGCCATATTTATGACTGTAGCTGTATACGCTAGCGTTTAAAAGACCTTATCACAAGTAAATCAATACCAAATTTATAGCAAAACATACAAAATACCAGACTTACCATGATTATTGCGTCTGAGAGTCTGTCGGCAGCGGATAGCGCCCTCCAGAGCAGGCGACCCACCCCTGCCATCACCAGCAGCGGACTGAGGTTGCGTGGGTCACCGATAGATGTCACTAGCGGCACGGTGCCCATGGTCCAGTCACAGCAGAGCTGATCCGGCACCAGCAGCAGGCCGGCGTTCACGGCCGCCAGGTATGTGTAGGTGAGCTGGCGGGTCGGTGTCATAGCCGCCGCCGCTGGATTGTCGAATCTGGGACCGGGGAGCGGAGACACTGCGTGTCAACACGGTTTGTTCACGGCATGATCATTTCAAAATGTTGAAAAGATTGCTACGAGCTGGGTATGTGCTAGCAATTCTCCGTAAACTGCGAGTGTAGACGTCCTCGCCAGCAGTTAAGTGTTTCGTCTGTCATAGCATGCGTGTATTCTAAGGACACACGAGGTACGAAGTAAACTTTTTACCGTGACCTTGCAACTGACCTGGTAAAAGCCGGCAGCTGGGCGCCCATGACCTTGACCCTGGCCACCAGCAGACAGAGGGCGCTGGCAGCGAGCACCAGCAGCCGGGAGGAGGCGGCCCTCAGCCAGTCGGGAGGCGGCACCTTCCCGCTAACCAGCGAGCGCAGCAGGTAGGGCAGACCGGCCAGCCGCAACTGCAGACGAAAACAGAAACTGAGAAGGTGGTAGAAACTGGTGTGACTTGTCCGGAAACTGAATGACATTGGTGTTTAGAGAATATGAGTTCATGTAAGTGTGACAATTGAAAACATAAACAAGTTGGTATGCGGAATCACGTTAGTTTGATCACAGGTGCAAATCTCCCTGCAGCAGCGCTGTACAAATAAGACTCCTGACAGTCTGTGGTTGGTGGGATCAACCAGACCCAGTTGAAGACAGTGAGTGAGACGGACTGTGTGGGCACACTAAGCCTCGTTCTACACATTGTGTGTCGCATATCGACGGCCGCCACTGTTCCGGGACCCCCAATCCGGCTCAGTGTTCGCGCGGTCGGCTGGCTCCCGAGAGCTGTATGGCTGCCGCGGCCCCGCGCTGACAGCTTTGACAGCTCGTGCGCGACTGACGAGCCGCCACTGGCGGGGCGGAACCGGCTCCCTCAACTCGCCACATCAAAACAAGCCGCAATTAATTACTAAATGTCGGGCCAGGGCGGGCTTTCACGGTATGAAATGTGGCACTGGCGTACTCTGGTCATCCGGGAAAATCGTCACGAACGGCCAATAGCGATGGAAGACTAATCACAGAAAAATCAAATGGTGCTCAGTTACTTCGATTTTCTGATAGATACTAGATAGTAGCCGTTTTCACGACGGGCTATGCGATGACTGCACCTAATTTGACCAAATCTGCACCTAATCTCTCTTACAGCCAATATCATGTGTCGTTAGCTGTCACGTCTCAGCAGCTTTCGGTAATTTCAGAATGGTATCGGTGACGATTCTGTGATGTCAGTCACAGGTCGTAGGGTCCTAGTGATTCACCTTTGAGACCGGTAATTCAGTGTGATTCTGTGCCTGATCCAGTGTGATTCAGAACCAGATTCAGTATGATTCAGAGTCTGATCCAGTGTGTATCACAGCTTGGTTCAGTGAGATTCAAAGCCTGATCAGTGAGATTCAAAGCCGCCGCTGGCCGCCACGAGTGCCGGCCAGTCTGGGGATGAAGTGGTCTAATCAGACCACTGTCCGTCATCTGAACGGTTATAAAGAGCGCTGGCACAATTCCGAAGTCGTCTCCTGCAGCGTTTGTGAAGACAAATGGAGGTGAGATTCCCGAAGATTTGTCATCCTAGAATCCGGCCAAGTTTTAATGAGCGCTCCGCCGAGTGGTCCTTTTCGACGGAGCCGGGCGACATTAAGATTCCGATGGATTCGCGATTGAGTTGCAGTCGAGTTGGTGCGCCACGTGTGAAGTCTGTTAGAGCCGATCGGCCGGGCGGCATGAGCCGACTGTCGAGTGGCAATCATCGACCTCCGCCGCTCCCCAACCGTCCCGCGGGCTGCTCATCAGAGGAACGGATTCGTTTGAAGTGGGGTGTAGCACACATTCACATTCCACATCGGTAGCACTTGAACGTATGAAATTTACATTGAACGGAGAAGCCAAAACATCTAGATACCCACAGCGTAACTCTTCTTCACTTTTTATTTTTTCATTTTAACGGCATGCTCGATAGATATTTTAGATGCTGAAAATTGGAGCTACATGTTATCATTTAGATTGTGACCCACAAGTTCCCACTTATTTGTGGAAAGTGACCACCAGACCAATATACATAGATTTGACTTACCTTTCTGATGACGAACACCTCGTAGACGGCGCAGACGCCGATGGCCGTGATGCCCTGTTCCTTACAGAGCAGTGCCGCTGTGACGCAGAGAAGAGTGACTCCCACCCAGCTCCAGTCTGAAACAGAGACAGACAGACGTCGAGATATCGCCACTTCACTACAGAGTTACACAGAAGAGAGTCATTCAGTAATGGCGGGATGTTTCAGTCTGAAACAGAGGTCGTCCGATCGTCACACTGCCACAAAGTCACACGTCACATCGTAAAACAAAGTAGCGTGACGCTCACCCAGTCCAAACTGAAACAGAGATCGTCACAACGTCACACTGTCACAAGCTGTCACAACGGTCACAACCAACAGTGGCGTGACCTATACCCCGGTCCAAGCTCAGACAACATACAACGTCACACCAAAGCAGCTAAGACAATGATGAAAAATGATGCATCCAGACACCAGACATTCTATCAAAATACAAAATAAATAAAAATCCCTTCGCACAACCCAAAGACCCGTCCCCCTCCATTCCTCACACCACCGCCGAGTATGACGTCACCCGAGGCCGAGCGACAGTTGTCCAGCCGCTTCACAAATCATTGGTCCGCCGCGGCGACGACAATCGGCCAATCGCGTCGCTCGATCGGCCGTGAAAAGAAGCTGTCACCGCGCCCGGCGAACGGCAGAGCGATCGGTGAACACTGAACAGCCGCGCCGCGCCCGGCCGGACCGAGGGCTGGCGATGGACCTCGACTGTAGAGCACGGCCCGCCGGGCTGTTGATTGATCTCACGATCTCACGATTGATCTCTGACACGATCGATGTCGCTCAGCTGTAAAAGCGGTTTTTGTGGGATGGTAAAATAAATGTCTTCGTGTGTTTTGGGCTGGCTGATCTGGCGTGTCTATACAACATGTTGATGACGTTTGGATCGATGCATTTTTTCGTTTCTTTTTGCGTTTAAATTTACTTAACATATTTTCTTTGATCTTTCATTTGTCCTTTACTACCTTCTTTTTCTTGTTTTCTGGCAGACTTTTGGGTTATTTGGCGATTGGTATGACAGTTGCCTTCGTTAGGTACACTGAAATAAATTCATAAAGTAAAGATATTTGCTGTAAAAGAGATTAGGTGCAGATTTCGTCAACTTAGGTGCACACACCGGATAGCCCGTCGTGAAAACGGCTAGTATCTCTCTAGACTCTGGCCTATGGCCTCTGGTCACTTGTCTCTCGTCAGAGATCTATCGTCTCTGATTTCCGTTCCATACCAAGCCGTTCCATCTTCTATCTCCGTAAGAACACATCCCCGACGGGGTTGAGCGAACACACATTATTCGAACACGCAGTGAGAGAATAATGTCGTGCAGACACGGCAGGGCGGCACGGGGCGAGACAGGTGGAGACCTCCCCAGGGAGAGGGGCACGTCGGGTCGGACTGGGGCGGAGCGGGCCGAGCGGCGGACGCGGCGGTGGCACCTGGTGAGATAGTGCCCGCGGACACGACACACAGTCACGGTTATCAGCGCGCCGATGGGCCACAATGGTCGGAAAGTTGGCCGTACCCGGTCTCGAAAATGAGGTGATTCAAGGCGGTATACATGTTACTTGTATTTAAGTGACACAATTTTGATCAAATAATGGCTGTGGAAGCTTTGTAACTTTGATGTCAAAACTTTGTTCCACGAAACTTGCAGGAAGTAAATAACACTAGGTACTGTTCTTGCAGATTATTCATTCACGAAAAAATAGTACGAGTGTTTATCCCTAGTGTCAGATGCAGGAACCCGTTAAGTACCCCACTCGCCTACTGTCATGTTGGTTCGCTTCCAGTCCCGACCACCACCAGTGGACGCTGACCGGGGGATCAGCCCCACGCGCTGCGGACGCTCGAGCCCGCACTCAGCCCCTATCAACTCCGAGTCCCGACGGATGACCGGCCAGCAATCGATGCTTCTCAGAACGGCGCGGACAGTAGTCGGCTCTGCAAATAAAGGCCGCTAAGAGCAGCCGCCGCCTCTGTCCGGTCTCAGCCGCCTCCGTCCCGTCTCTGCGCTCCAGCGCTGACCGTGTCGAGTTCAATATCCCCAGAACGGTCCACTGGTATCCACTCCACACCGGACCAAGGGCTTTTCTTAAGTTATTTCGTCTAATACTGTCACGAAGTCCGCTGGCCGTAGCTCAAGATCTTCGCAGTTTAATATCGCAGTAAATGCAGCATGAACGGTGAATGATTGGAACATAAATCACGGAATCGTTTTGATAGTGGCTTGATCTGGAGAATCGTACGTTACTGCGCCGTTGATTCTAATTTTTCTCCGAACAAATTTGTCTCAACAGGGCGAGACCAATCAAAGCCTGGGCACTTAAAAGCAAATCAGACCATTTCGAATTTGTCAAGAATGTAAGGCGATGGCACAGTCATAGCTTTACTGTTTGACTGAACAAATGGCCATAGTAAATCCAAACTTAGATCGGACTTGCTGCTAAGAAATGTGGTTATTCATTTCCTAATTTGCAGAAAAAAATGGAGCATCCAAAACTGGACAATGAGTTTTCTAAATTTCCTTACCATCGACTATCTGTATTGCCTGAATCCAATTACGACCTCAACGACTCCAAACCTGCTTCGTTTCCCCGAGCCAATACCCGTCTTCATCGAGCTCCAGGCATCATCCGTCGATTCGGACAGAGCGCGCTCTCGAACAGCCGTCGCCGCTGGCTACGAAGTCGTCTAAATCCTCTGATTAATGACAGCAGCGGTGTATTAACACGGAATTAACCCGCACACTGTCACACCGACGTGTCGACACGCAAATTTGACGAATGGCCGCCGAGATGGGCTCAGTCCGGCCAGCCGCTGAAATTGGGTCATTTGGACGGACTGGGACGGCGCAGGAGCGGAACGACGAGCTTGGCGGTTTACGGGTTCAGTGTAGCGTGCTCAAATTAACAGGGGCATTTGGTGAGGACCGAAATCACCACCGCGGAAAGGGAGATCTTCATTTGCTACTGCAGAATGGCCGGTGCTGGTGACAGTCTCCAAAATAACGTCCATATATCGTCGCCATATGCACTAGCGATATGACACGTGCTTCATAATATCCTGAACGAGTTATGCTTCACATTAACCGGGTACCGCACTCAATAAACAATGAAAAGCTTGTGTTGGCGGAGCAAACGGTGCACGCCATATCATAACATCGGCACGGCCCTGCAATGCATTACAGCCGTCTACTGTTATGCTATACAAGCTGGCAAGTGCTCCCCTGAGGCCCATTCGATGACACCATGATCCCATGAGTGGATACAATTTCCCTCGGCGTCATGGCCACACACTGCCCGGGTGTCATTTCCTGACACACCGTGGGGACCCCCGCACAGCTCGCTGTAGCAACAGAGTCCCCGAGTCCCCGAGGTAAACGAATTGCAACAGCTCGTGTCCGTTTGTCTCGGGATCAGACCTACGAAAAGCCTCCGTAACAGGCGTCACGGGGTGCTTCGCGCCGCCGCCCCGGCAGCACGGACGGTTTTACGGCGACAAGTAGGTATGTTTGCTCAGGTGCCGGCGGCGACATCAAAATCAATGAGGCCAATTATACGCCTCGCAGCTTTGCTGGAACATCGTAATTTTGAATAATATATCACGACGTCGGTGTGCACGGTCGCATTAGGCGTTCCGGTATAGGGTCGGGCGTGTTGCGCCGCCGAGTTGGCTGACGTGGGACGCGTGTGATTGACGAGTGTGCTGAGCGGCTCACTGAAGTTGGGAGCCCGCCGGAAAATGACAGTCGCCCGGCTGGTCGGAAATTGGACGGCACACAGCTCCGAGAACCAATAGCAACGGTGTGTGGCGTGATGAGATGACGCCAGAACAGGGTCAAAGGGGTGGAGAGGTGTTCATGCGGTTGTGCAACTGGTCGGGCGTGTAGCTTGGTACCGAGCGGCAGAGGTTTCCTGAGAATCCGGCGCTGTCTTGCAAAGTGGTCAAAACCTGATCGGCTGCCAAATATGGATCACAAATGAGAGACACTGCTTATGGTGACGAAAATGGAAGGTGCGTTAGTCTTGTCTGACTATCGGTGTCAGAAGATGCTTTTGACGACATAAATATCAACCATCGGTCAAAGCACGCTCTTAGAGACTGACGGGAACAGGCCACAGCTATATGTGAGAGCATTTGAAACACTAAAAGCAATATAAGTAAAGATCATCGAAGTGGTTTGAAGGAGCACTTCGAGCAAGCACTTCTGTTATGTAAGTCTGAGGTGAGTGTATTTGAGGCACTGAGTGAATGTGACGGGTGTCATATGGCCTTTCAATCGCGACGCATGTGCCGCCCATACCAATAGCCAGCGACGGCGCGCGATGACCCAGAAAATGACATTCTGAATTTCTGATGGATCATGCCAAGAAGGCTGGCTAAAAGGCCTGCTAAGCCTGAATGGCCATAACTTCTGAACGGTCGTCACTATGATGGCGTCAAAGGCTTCAGAATGCGCCATTTATTACCAGGCATTGCTTCGAAGGTTGGTTCAAGCGCGCATGCATTTAACCCGCGCCCCACTGGGGTCTGTGTATAACACGCCCTACTGGGGGGGGGGGGGCTATTCATAGCCCCCCCCCTCCTAACTCCGAAACTACTGGGCCGATCGTCAAAATTCAAACAAAGTCTGATAGCCCCGGAAAAACTGTCGAACGAAACCTGATTTCATTGACCTCGAGGTCACCGATGACGTCACAGGTCAGGTCAAAGTAAAAATTATTAGCATTTTGGCTTGTTCACATTTTGGGCTCTGGCCGCCGTCTTACAAGTCAGATCAGGCTCATTTTTGGTAAACACACTCTTAAACAGATGCTCTAGATACCCTGAGGGTACCAAGCTTTTACTTTGATTTTCAGGTCAAGGTCAGGTCATCACAGGTCACGAAAATATTTTATCATGCGTCGGTCACGTGACACATGTTTTATGGTCCATTTAGGCCATAGATTTCGAATTTGATGTCGTCTGTGTCATTCGAGGTCATTTTGAGTCGAATTTAGCTTAGGTCAGGTCACTTTCAGGTCAAAAAAGGTCAAATTTTGAAGTTAAAATTTTTTAACAAAAAAGGTGTCTATTGGATGCAGTTTGAGCTCAGGAACACGATGGTGCCATTTATATTGGTGTACGATGTCAAATACGTACTGAAAAATGGATTTGAAAAATTAATAATTGTGAATTTTTTGCAATAATGCGTATAACTTGGCCATTTTTGAAGATATTTAGCTAAAACTTGCTAGAGTTAGTCATAATCATGCGTTCTGTCACATATATTCCGGTTTTTTCGAAAAGTCAAAAACTTTTTGAAAAAATATAAAAATACAAATTTTGAATATTATTATATCAAATTTTCGTAATTTTCAAAATTTTGAAAATTCGAGATAGCAGTTTGATAGCGCGGTCAATTCTGAGTCCTTTCATGCAAAGAAATTAGATCTAGCTTAAAAACTGAGCTCTTGGGAGCGATTGCCGTGGTTCAATGTTTTGCGTCGAAATCGGACGAACATGACGTCACTCTGACGTCATTTCCGGCCGACCTATGGTAGCTACGAAGTTCAAATTTCGACACAAGGTGTCAAATTGATGCAGCCGAAGGTACTGTAAGTTTGGCGTCGATCCGTCAAGCGGTTTGGAAGTTATTGCAGAAAAACGGGAGGGGGGGCTATAAATAGCCCCCCCCCCCCCAGTGGGGCGCGGGTTAAAAACAATGGCCTCGCCGGTATGGCAAATGATCGTAGCGTATTCGACGCATTAAGTATTTTTGATTACGAAACAATCAATACATAATATTTTACATAGCCCAGGACACCTCACTTTCGTTTTACATGCTCCCGAATGAACAGCACACCAAATATTGATATTGATAGACAAATTGAATTATAATTGGAAAACAATGGAAACGTTTTTGGGTTATATTACTTTAAGTCGGCTACAAATGCGTTTCGATATAAATCTTTTTCAAGCCATAAAGACAAAGTCAACTTTGATGTTTAGGCGAATTTTTTACAGTGACTTTGTCTTTATGGCTTGAAAAAGATTTATATCGAAACACATGTGTAGCCGACTTAAAGTAATACAACCCAAAAACGTTCCCATTGTTTTCCAATTATAATTCACACCAAATATTGTCATGCATAACATTATATCGATTAGTGTCTTGCATAGTTGAATAATGCGCACTTTGTTTCCCTACAGACGACATGAATAATGGTACCCATGATGGAAATACTTTGAAGCTTGACATTATCGCCAGCAGCACAGCACCATGTTTGCGCCGCATTACACAAACTTTAGGACTGCAACTTACCAGTTCCCTGCGGGGCTCTCGTAGCTCTGACGTAGGACAGTATGGCGACGATGAAGAACACGGACGATAGAAGTTCAGCGCGGCCAACCACCCCAGTCACCTGTCAGGGAAAACCAACGGTCGAATTTGGTGACACGATTAAAAAACGCGTATTATTGAAGAACATTTGGTGTTGATTGTCAAACGTTCAGCGCAACAAACTACATATACCATTCTAAGAAAGTAAAGTTGCTGGTCAGTGTCAAAATATACGGAAATATAGACCGCAAGAAATAATTATTTTCAGCATCCTCATAACGAGCTACATAAGCCTGAACGGATAATAGTGCGGGAGAGACAACAAATACAGACCATGTGTAAGTTGAGGTCACTCGTAACTGCTTGAATGTTCAGAAACAGTCTCATCGTCCCTGATCACTCACCGCCTCTGTGTGTATTGGATGCACGGCGAACAGCAGAGCCGCCACAAAACTGCACATGTCCGAGACAAAGAGTGTACATAACCTGCAACAATGTCACCACAGCATACCGGTCACAGGAGCATAGTGATAGCTAAACGAAGACATGGGGCATGGGAGTACCAAGCCTGCTCCAGATTTTTGGACATGGCAACGAGTAACCTCATAGTGTTAGGGGGTTTCTGGACGAAGGAAAAGATCACAAGCTACACAAATATATTACGTAAAAGGCCAGACCTACGACATCACTGTAAAAACTAATATATAGTTTTACTCACAAGATTAACCCTCGCCCGCACATGCCATTTTCCCATCCTAGAACGCACATGGGGGGGGGGGTGGTTGCTACCCCCCCCGCGCCATTTCGTTCCTGTTGGAGATAGAGCTTAGCAGTAAAGACCAAAAAGATTCTTTGGGAAGAGACGAATCCAATGATACCCAGTTTTACCTTCTCAGGTCAGTCATTGACCTTCCAGGTCAGGTCAAACTAAAAAATGTTGCTGTTTTGGGTCACCGTTGGATATCAAGTGTGCTGCTTATCAAATACCGATGACGATGCTGTTTTCTGGTGCCAAGCCAGCTAGAACCTCTTTGTCACACTACCCGACCAGAATTTTGCTGCTGAGGTCATTTCAGGTCAAGTTAGGTCAAGGTCAATTATATGTGTTTGTATGTCTGTGTGTGTCTGTGTGTATACTGATGTGTGCACCGATTGTTTTTGGGTCCATATTACATGAAATCATGATCTGAGAAACTTTTACCAAAAATGTAGTCAAAAAACTTCAAAAAAGTAAATTCAGCTTGCCTAAAACGCAATTATCTTAGATGACCTAGGTTGACCTTGACCCTGACCTTGACCCCTGTACATCGTCGAACAACATGTTCCATGATAGGTGGGAGGTAAGACTGGCAAAAAAGGCCGAAATCAGGGTGTCAAAAGCTCATAAGGCCCATGGCAAACGCAAGATGTTGAGAATTGGCCATTTGGGTCTTGACATGACCTGAAAAACAAGGTCATATCTCCGAAACCAAACATCATAGAAACTTGAAATTTTCAGTGGACATCAAGAAAGGATAGAGGAGCAGTTATACGAAAAATCAGCCTTCTAGCTCTAAAAATGTTGAGTGCAGAGCAGAAAGACTACCTGGGGGGGGGGGGGTGGTGGCAACCACCCCCCCCATGTGCGGGCGAGGGTTAAAGCAAAATTATTAATGCTTTCTACCTGTCACACTAGCTTGAAAGAGATAAAAGAGCATTTACAGTACACCGTCCTACGATAATCAACATAAAACAGTATTTTGCTAGTTCATTGTTGGCTTTATTGAATTTATAGACTGATTCCCGAACTTGATTAAACCTCTGAACTGCCTCGGAGCGAGCCTGGAGCCTTTGAACACTAATCGTTCACATGTTGCAAGTTTGACTTCATTTCATAGCTGAAATGAGTTTGCTGAAGGGTACCGTCTTTACTGACAGGCTCAGAAACTAATAACGCCCTGAGGCAGGTGACCCGGGCGAGCCCCGCACACAAAGTCTTCTTCATAAATCCATGCCGCCTGTTACCAGGGAAATTTTAGGTCGGCTGCTCTAGCAATAATGCTACCACAATACTGCATGACAGGGCGAGGAAGTCATTACATTAAAAAAAACGGCCGATTTTCGCCATTAAAGTCCCCTAATTGACAGAGTCGTCAAGAACAAAGTAAAATAATTGTCTGCCATTGAAGTCGACCAAGGGCTACTGAATATCTTAAAGCCATTTTAACTGACAGCGCCGATTGGTCCTAATTTTAAGTGAATTCTGCTAGATTAATACCACATATACGTAATATGGTGATATGTTAGACCACAACTGATTACATCAGACGTCTTTTGGAGGGATAAAATAAGCACAGGAAAAAAGATGAAAATCTGATCAGAAATATAAGCAACATCTCCAACCTATGTTGAAACTTTAAAACACGACAGCACTGTAACGGAATCCAAAGCAAAATCCACTCTTAAATTGCTAAAACACAGTAGGGTGTCTCGTTTTAAGTATAGTATCCAGCATCTAAATAGAATATAGACGCCCTTAACCCTAGAACGCCTAGGGGGGGGTTGTATCAACCCCCCCCCCTGAGGTTTTTCGGAAATAGTGGAAAAACGGCGGCGCGCAGCGCCGCCAAATTTTGGATACCTTATGGGGCAAACCTTGCGCATCTTTTGATCAAAAAAATTTGACCGGGTCATGTCAGGTCACGGAGTTATGACGTCACAAAGGGAACAGCCTCCGGCCGGATTTTCACAAACTGAGTGCCAACGCCCGAGGTTTCCTGCCGGTGGTACGGACATCGGTTGATGGATCGTGATGAAACTTCCCATGCATGTTGGGGCAAGTATTGGCTATCATATGGTATAAGAAACTTGACCGGGTCAGGTCAGGTCACGGAGCTATGACGTCACAAGAGGAACAGCGTCCGGTACTATTTTTGAAAAGCGCCCGAACCACTATTTTGCTAATTCTTGTCACCTCAATGGGAATATGCAGCAATATTAGCTCCTATAGGGAGCAAATGGACATCCCAAATCCAAAAATACAATCAGATTTCAAAAATTTAAATTTTGATTTTTCGAATTTCTGCCGCCGACTGTGACCTTGCCGACTTCCGGCGCTCCCAACGCGCCATTTTTAGAGCTAGGGAAACGAAATACATAGCAAACGATAGAGAATTGATCAAGGAACACGATAGTGAAGGTTTCAAGTCGATATCTCCCACCGTTTTGCCGCAATCGCCGCGAAAAATTTGGAAAAGTCTATTTTTCCGAAAATTTGACCTTTGACCGGTCAAAAGTAGGTCAAATGTTGACCTAGGACCAAAAAATATACCACCAATCGCGAGATCTCGTTGAGAGCAATCCGTTGGTTTTTTCCGCTAAGCTCTACGACCTTCCGTTTCGAAACGCCAGGGGGGGGGGGTCGTAACAACCCCCCCCCTGGTCGTTCGTGTTATGAGAAATGGCCTGGTCGTGCGAGGGTTAACCCAAAATGCACCATGTCGACATCGTTAGCACGCCTACACACAGTCAAGGCTAGCCCTTCTTCACGAACGTCACTGGCTGCATTGAGTCTGACCTGAAGTAGCTAACCACTAACCAGCCCACCAATGAGTAAGATCTGAGGCCGATGACCCACTCCCCACCCAGTGCCGAGCTGGTGGTAACCTGATGAGCATGCACTCAGCACTTCGGTAGGTCTGATCTGAAGAAGATCTGAAGTCTCACCCACCCAGCGCCGAGTCCCCCTGAGCTTAAGTATTTCGAACTCCCACTCAGCACTCAGGTCTGACCTGAAGTGTAAGCATAGGCCTCAAAGCGCCCTGAAGATAGCCCACCCAGCGCCGAGTCTCACCTGAAGTAGAGCACGCAGACGAGCACGTGCAGCAGGACATTGGTGAGGTGGTAGCCGAACGGCCTCAGCTGGTGCAGCAGGTAGTTCCAGCGGAACGTCAGCACGCACAGGGGACGGTACGACTTGTGGGACTGCTCCTGGAAACGAGAGAAAGGGATGGTCAGCGGTTAACACACATAGAGAAAGGTCAACTGACGCACAGCAACCGATACGACTTGCATGACTGCACTCCTGGAAACGGGAGAAAGGGACGGTCAGCACTCAGCACCAATAGGGGAACGTTGGGACATACAGCAGCCGGTACGACTTGTGGGGCATCTCCTGGAGAAGATGCAAGAGTCTGGTCAGCATGCACAGAGGAACGCCAGTGCCTAGAACAAACCCAGCGACGGGCGCGACTTATGACAAATTGCTAATATCAATCAGGGAAGCAGATTGATTGTTCAATCATCAAATGAAACAAATCGTAAAGATTTAAGTTGATCGTTGAATCAATACCGCATCGCCGATAGCTGAGCTGAAGTGATATTCTAGTTCCATATGATAATTTTCCCATTTCAAAAACGATGCCCATAAATTGACCCACATCTAGTCTGTTTCCACGTAAAGCGCATTGAAATGCATCCAATATGGCGAAACCCATCATTTTGACAAACGAACCTGGTTCAGAAATCTCCAGTGGTTGGTAGGAGTATTGGTTGATGTAAACGTGCTGAGTAGGCGCATCGATACCACCTCTTAATCACCGGCCGGGGTCACATTACGACCACGAGCGGAATGGACTCTACGAGAGCAGGGTTCGACATCTCATCCGCGCCGCTGCGCTGACCTATTCAACGCCCGCTGGAGGATTTTGACATTACGAAACTGGATAATATGAGAAGAAAGGCGGTTTAAATTTTACACTGCTTGCAAACACATGTATCGTTGATGTTTTGGTGTGTATGATCAAATGAACTGGATCGCTCTTAAGAGATCGAATCATTTCTACCACTCGCGCACCTCCGTGAAAGGAATAGCCAAGAGTTTATCAGTACTCATGAGCCTTCAATGTCAAGCACAAATGTTGACCTCAGCCGGCAATGGGTTTTGCCTGTAGCTGACAATACCTAATAAACAAACAATTCCACCACATGCATGACATGACGAATAAAATCCAAGAGCTCAGGAGCAGTGCTTCAGACCGCTGCGACTCCTGTCACTTCACCATGACCATGTGATGGCGACGAGTCACGGTCACCCCTGTCCACGGGACAGCGAGGGCAGGCCGTGGGTGGTGAACCAATCAATGGGCAAAGACGTACGAGCATCGCTCCGCGGTTAGCCAACAGCTCAGCGTCGAGCGCTAATTGGAACAGATCAGTGAGGACAGCCGTGGCCGCCCTCTCTTGGCAGCGGCACAAAATCGATACAGGGCGTATATACTGAAGAAGCTTTATAAATGCCGCGACGGTAGATGTAATACAACAATGTGGGATTCTGTCAGGATTTTCTGAGTCTTATTGAGTTTTGTGATTGGTGATGAATGTGACTGAGCATTCAACAGCGGAAGTAGCTCGCCTTGGCACGGAACTTCAAACTGGGGCAGCAGTCTATAGAGATTGCTGAAAATACCAGATTCACGAGTGCCCCTGGAAGCACTTATTCGTCACATTGATACAATTTTGATGAAAAACAAATATAAGACAGTAAAATACGAACGATTCCCGAGTCACGTGTAGCGGCCATAAAATGGTTAGAAACTGAGTCAACACCAATTAGAAAATGCGTTGGAATTGGTCCGTGACAAGAACAAACGTCAACTCAAATATGTGTCGAGACTTTCAGTTGGCTTTACAGCTAGAAAAGTCCAGTTCCGGGTCATCTATCAACAAACGCTGTTTCGTCGAACTCCGGCCAACTGGGTATGGTATGACATGACATGACTGTTCGTCCTACATTAAACAATGTGCTCTCTTCAGTCTAAAGCATTGCCTGTGTACCAACCAATCCGAATGTTTTTTCTTCTTCAAATCTGCGTGTCTTTGTGTGAGCTATTTGGAGGCAGCTGTACTGTTACAAAAGTGCTATCGCCTCTGAAATAAAAGACAAGAGTCGTATTTCAGCATCGAAACTAAAGAAGAGTTAATTTAGTATCAGCTGTTGCCTCTGGTTTACATCAATTATGTATATGTGGGTAGAAATAACTAAATATGCAAACGACTGCATTTTCATTACGTCTGCTTTCTGTTCTTATAGTATTTTCCTTATAGATCACGGAGAAAGACATCCACACCAGCAGACGCCATTCCCCGTTCCTCCACGTCGGCTGGGCGAGCGGCTCACCACGCGTCTAATAACCGTCACAGATCAGCACATAGTCTCAATGGCCCCTCTGTTGACCCAGGGGTCGAGGAAAAACAGACTGAAGCGCAGCTGGGCGGCGATAATTTCTCACGAGTCCGAGGAATTGGCTCGCCGGAGCGGCCGACTCGGTCTGAGCGAGCCCCCTGAGGAGCCGCCAGAGAGGCAATATTGGCAGACGGAGCGTCTGATTAGCTTCCGGGCCTCGTCTGTCCTGCACTGTCGGCGGTTGTATGGTGAATGTACGTGCGTATGTTTGTGTGTGCTTGTATGTGACTGCAAGGATGTTTGTGGTGCTTTTGTGTGGGTTTGTATGTAATCATGTTTCTTAGGTCGCACGAGCCAATATCAATCGACTTAAAAAGAGATGGTCGTCTCTAATTTTCATTAGCAAATCTGAGCTACCGAGGTGCATATTCCAAAAAATCTGTCAACATTAACTTGAAAATAAATTTATAGGAGCACTGCGTGACAATATGCAGCGCTATCAGTCCACGACTACAATTACAACTTCGCATTGGAATTGATTTAATGTAAATACAGCTATAATAAATTTCACAGCACAAAACATCACAAAATAACATCCACAACAGCAAACATCACATCTGCCCCACACCTCCACACCCTTCCACATCGAGCATACCATTACCCTCCACCCACCGTCCACGTCTTCTGCACCCATCGGGCACCCCTCCCGGCCTCTGTCTGACCTTGGGACTACCATCCCGCTCCTCCCAGTGGCAGGGAGCCCCCACTGCGTGATTTAGGTAGTGTCACTGCACCCTCTCCTCGGCGTACACTGAGAGCCGCACCGGGGGAGAGAGGAGTGCACACCAGTCCCATCCCATTCCACCGCCCTCAGTCGTCTCCATAGCGTCCCACGTACGGCGCGGCCGAGGCGGGCACGACCCGCGCACTGCCGACGATGTTCCCGTCACAGATAAGTGATGCCATCGTAAATAGGACAATTTACGGTAGCCGGGCTGAAGGCGGCAGCAACCCGGCTGAATACTGAACAGGTCACCGGCGGAGGTAAGACGAACCGGTGGCGGTGGTGAGAGGGAGAGGCTGGGCTGTGCGGGTTCTATGAATGCGTGTGAGGGGAGGGGAGTGGGGTAACGAAGGGTAGGGTGTGGGATGTGCAAGGCAATGTGGGATATTTGTGTGTGGGGTCCTGTGGGTCACGAAGTACTGTGTGTGTCGGGGGGGGATGGAATATTGCACATGGGATGGGATATGTGTACTGTGTAGGTGCGATATTCATGGCATTTGAACTGTGAGAAATGTAGATGTCTATGTCTTGTGTAAGGTGTAGTATGGCGTGTTTGGGTATGCGGGCTCAGTTTTTGTCCCACATGGACCATACTTGCACGCAACTCGTTGTTCCGCACGTGTTACGCACATCCCAATCGCGTAAAACCATATGATATAGAAAAAACACGTCTGATGCCCGGAGCCCTGAGGCATCCCTACTCCCCTGGTCCAAGTGAACAAACCACCACACCAAGTTGGGATAACACCAAGCTAACCCCGACAAAGAATCTCATAAGCTTATGAACAGGATAGTATTCCACACGAATTACAAACGGCACCCGTAAAGGAGACGGCGGCACGAGCCAAGACGCCTCAGGGCCGACGCAGTTCGTGTGCATCGCCGTCACCGTGGGTGCCTTCGTTCCCATCGGCCAGACAGCCAACGGCCCGAACTAATGGAATTGAATGTGCATCGCGCTATAAAATTTGCAAGTCGGCGAGCGACATATCGCTAGAACGCGATCGGCGTCCAGAAAAGACGACAAGTAACGCTCACGAAGGGCTTCACTGGGCGAGCTAGCCGGCTGTGCAGGTTCAGAGGAGGGCTGGTTGCATCATATCCGGCAGATCGCGGCTGAATGGACAACCTTGTGTATTTTTAGATGCAAGGACTTTCGGCTCAGTGATTTTTCAGCACGTGTGCATTTCAATGGAATTATTTTCCTCATCGTCAACACCAATCAAGCTATCACAAGTCGACCAGTCGATTGAATTCGAAGTAACAAAGTACAGTAGAAGCTTACCAGGGAATCCATTTATGGCGTATTTTAGCAGGTGGCACGGTAGCAAAAATAATACTTAATACTTAATGAAATTACCTCAGTGCCACATACCTTTATATAGGAACTAAGTGACGACGCTATAATAAAACACCGTCGGCAAAAGGAGAGAGAGAAAAAAAAAACGTTCGTTTCAGCTTTCTCAAGAAAATATAATAAAAAGGCAGAAGTGGGTAGAAGTGGGGGGCAACGTAAAATATAAATGGCTGGCTAGAGATGTGCCCGATTTGGCCACCCATCTGCACCTTTTCGCTGTTGAAACGAAGTCCGATGGCCGAAATGCGAATGACGATTGAGGAGCATCTGCGAAAGATTGACGGCAAATCGCTTGTTGAATAGTCTGCACCCGGGAAAGGAGAAGCGAAGAAAAAAACTTACTTCCTCTTAAAGAAAAAGTGAGACAATGAAAATGTTTTCACGAGCAGTAAATTATTTCGACCAGCTAGCTAATTGGCTACCACCACCTACATCCTTCAACCCGGGTGCACAGCGCTGTCGCCCCACCACCCTCACCTTCTCCATGGGCGTGCCCCAGAAGTCGTTGTGCAGCAGATTGGTGAGCGGCGTGTGCGGTCGCAGGTCTCTGTTGTCCTTCACCGCACTGATGTCGTCGAACACAAAGTCGCAGTGCAGAGCGTTGTGGTAGCAGAGTGCGACTGCCACCATCAGCCCGGCGTGGTACACCCAGTGGCGCAGCATGACTGGAAACACAGAGGATAACAGAGGGTCACCGAGACGCTATTTTGCAACAGGGTTACGCGAGAGAAGTTTGGACAGCGGTCAAATAAACGGAACATTTATTATAGCTAAGATATAGCCAGAGAAATAACTTATTAGGCATCTCTCTCAAAGCCTTTCCGTCCGCTTTGCATCTGCAGGTTGCATTTTGACGTCACAACTCAGCAGCTCATCTCCACTAAACATTCACGTAAACAAATCAGTAGACCTTATGACAGTTCGTACGTTTAACTCCGAACCACGCTTACCTGCAGTAGGTACGTACAGCACAAGTGAAGACCTCCGAAACAGATGAGTAGCATCTACATAGATCTGAAGCGTATGTCTGGCGTGCCAAGATAAATGTGAGGCTGGTATTTTCATTTGCTCGCTGGGTTCATTTGCAAGTTGAGGCTTCAGCGAAAGCAAATGTACTTTTCGCCACCCTACACGTCCATAAGTGATCTACCAGCGACTGGCATGCTATGTTATGGCACAAAATGTCCCTCACTAAATCGCCACCTAGTGTCACTACGTCAAGTAATGGGCATCCAGGGACCTTCCGTCCCAGCACAGCGCCTCGACACGGCATACTGCGCGATGAATGTGAGTGCTGAAATACCAATTACTTAGGCCACAGCTTCTGCACCAGAGAGCGAGCACTCATATAAATCACTATAATCTCTTCATGAATAGCAGGCCGTCTCGCAAGCACGGTTTTTACCCGCCTAGCTACTCGATGTTTCCTTGTATTACCCCTGAAATGGTGCACCCATCCGAACACAGGGCTGTCATTGTGTTCCAATACGGCGACATAGATATGACGCCAATGTGCCGTATTATTGCTCATAATTGCCCCGAATGGCGCAGCAGAGTCGTTTGGCACAGACTTGGCTCGATGAGCCCGGCATAATGATCATTATCGCGTGCCTTGCTGGATGCCTTTGGATCAGATTGTACGCCTGCCGTGCTTTAGCTGCTATGCAACGCCAAGATTCGGAGCCGGCGATTCCAAGTATCCGTGTGCATTTGTTCCTAGATGATTGCGGCGCTTGTTGGAATGATGGCATCTAAAGGCTCACTGGCTTAATTCGTTTCATTAATATTATCATAGTGAATCAACTATTGATCCATATGCACGAGAATGCTATACATTTTATGATGTTATGTCATGCGTTGCTGGGCTCAGGAACATGAATAGGTAGATGTGGTACAGCTTCGTCTACCTTTAAGCTCACTTGCCAAGTGTACACAGGCTATAAAATGCATACATTTTACAGAGCTTATTTCCAGTCCTCCAGTTTAGATGCAGTTTAGATGCAGTTTAGACTGTTCCTCTGTTCCCCAGTCGTCGCCCGCTCACCCTCCCTCCCTGCATGACAAACGACCCAGCGACGATCTGCTGTCGTGGTCGCGGAATATCGCCCGACGCGGTGTCAACCGACACGCCAAAAAAGCTTCATCCAGGATAAACGAGCTGTCACAGCGGCTCGACAGCTGCTGAAGCTCTCCGTCAGGCGCCGACAGCTCGACGGCTCAAACAGCTCACACTGCTAGGGCTTGCACAGCTCCGCGACAGCTCACAGCGGGCTGTGGCGGCTCACAGCAGGCTGCGGCAGCTCGTGGCCGAAACTGCTCACCATAAAACTCATCGGCAGTCGGCAGCCGGTCTAAGAACGGTCACACAAACAGCTGAAAAACCCACCGCCGGCTGAAATGCGCCAACAAAAGCGCTACCGATGAGGGGGAGCGTTATCTACGAGTGTTGTGCTTGGCTGAACGCTGAGCTATGGAACTGAGTGGTGGCCGGGTAGCTGGCGTTTCTCTTCGACCGGCGGCGCACTAAATGAACAATCTATCGGGCAGTGATGGAACGAGCTACTTGGCCTCGAACCTAGGTGACGGCTGGGGTTGGAATGGGCGGCATAGGTACTCGTAGTGCATCTGCATAGGGTATGGTGGAGAGAGGATTGCACGCTCCGTGCATGATCAGCACTCAGTAGTTCGTTAAACTGTTACCCTAACGACTTTTGAAAGCTGACCTAGGAATGAAGCCAGCTTTGAGCTTTCTGGAGCCCATAGGTTATCGATTTCTGCAAACATTCGTGATTACATCGATACAAAACCCACCAATTTGAAGCAGGCGCGCCATAAATCATCAGGCCGTATAGTTAAGGGGCACTTGATACAGCACGCAAGGGAATAAATGACCCACATTTATATACTGCATCAAACTTGAACCAAATAATGAGTGATCAAATAAGCAGGTATGGTGGAAAAGGGATATTATATGTCATTAGCATGATAAAACAAATGAAAACAATTCATAAACGTAAGTAAAGCTAACAGCTTTTGTAGTGCCGCAGAAATGCATGGATGGGGCATTTCGATCGGGTCATACCCAAGGCTTTGTTTGTAGTTTTAGTTCGCCAAAATTACAATGCCCAACTGTAAACCAAACAAACGATGCTTTTATATCAATAGGTAGAGAACGTAAACATATGGCTGACCAAGCGAAACAGACAGCACCGATTTGTCCCTTGCCTAGAGAAAATTACGCACCGGGACCACGCGTTACAAATCAAAACAGGCTGGGCAGGACGTGTTCGTGCATAACCAGGCCTGTCTCCGGCGACCGACTGCGCTTGCGACCACATCATCCCTCTCTCTCCCTCTCGCTACTCTCAACCGTGTCCTCTACACAGTACAGATCTAGGTGGGTCACCATAAGTCACCCTCTCTCGAGCTGAGGGGACGGAACGGTCTACGGAGGCACATGGGGGAAAAGGCGCCCACTGTTTATGTTCTGTTTGTGGTAGATACCGTCCATCAACTGAGGACAGTGGCGTGCATCGTAAGCGAGGTTCGTCGAGAGCCACGCCGGCTGTTGCGTATACCGACCGGCGACCAGCCGGGACACCCCGAATCCCCGGAACCCCCAGTCCAGAGACCCCGGAGCCGGAGGAGCCCCTAAGCCCCCTGGAGCCAGGGGGACTCCCAGAGCCCCCGGGGTCAGCATATCCCCCGAGTCTCAGTAGCCAGGAACTCCCCAAGCCGGAGGGTGCGCGTGAGCCCGCTGAGCCACCGAGACCGGCCGCATCGATCCCAACATACCAATAATGAGCCAGCCGCTCCATCCGTGCCGGGCGGGGGCGGGGGCGGGGGCGGCGCGCCACGCACGCACCTGTCGCTGCCGTTGATCTCCGATCACTGCGACGATATCGACTCACCGGCGGCGGCAGCGGCGCGGCCGAGCCTGCCAGCGAGGCCGCAAACGAGCCAGGTGGATAAATACAGCGGGCTAGAGCCTGATCGGTGGACTTGCTGTGCGGAGTATAGGACGCAGAACGCAAGCGGAAGGCAAGGAGCGAGTGTGTTTTATAGTTTGCTAACTTTAAATCGGTGTTGACTTCAAGACGACAAAAAAGAATGCACACTAATGTAAAATATGTTATGTGGAACGCAAAAGTTCAAAAAGATCATTTATTACAAACGTCTTCTATGCCACTGAAGAATGTGAAAAGCGTATACAAAGAAATACTTCATTCTCCGCAATCCCACTGCGACAAATTCAAGCAGTAAAATATCAGATATTTGATTAACTGACGTGATTGATTTCCCAATACAAGATTATATCTTGACAAAAAAGCTGCGACACTCCAAAAACGTTAGGTTGCTAAATCGCTTACAATCATTACCGGAAACAATCCTGAGGACGATAAATATGTGCTGACTTCAACGACGCCGAAATGGCAGGCTCGGACGCACACAATGCAAACGCAAATATTACGCAGCAATAATGGGAGGGGTGCGCAGTAATGTGAGTGCCTGAAGCCACCCAGTGAAGCCAAGAATAGCAAGAGTGCCCTTGCTATGGATCATTATAGTAACACGATAGGCTGGTAGTACCTACAGTACCCCAGCATATCAATGAAAGAACAACTTATATGAATGCATGACTTTGCAAAGGGGTAAAGCTGAGCAGTAAAATAATGAAACATCGTAAATGGCCCTACCGTCACCTTCAAACAACATCATTAGCTTGACAAATAATGCAAAGAATAAGGACTGCATAAAGAAGTTCAAACATAACCTGAAAAGCTCTAATATCTTTATGGTTTTTAACTCGGTGCTGACATTGTTTCATAAGAAATATGTGAAAAAAGTAATAAACCAATGGACCTTCCGTATCCTCTCCAAGCGGCCATTTAAAGTGGTGAGTTCTTTTAGTGGCAATTTTTCATCACGAATCATTGAATAGGCAATGACCGTTAACCCGCGCCCCGTTGGGCTCTGCCGAGCAACGCGCCCCGTTGGGGGGGCCATTTTGGCCCCCCCCCCTAAGATCTCGAGAACCACGCAACGTAGCGACAAGCGGCAAACGGTGTTGGATAGCCCTATCAGAGAACTACCTTGTGACCAAATTTTATTGACCTAGGTCAAACCGATGACGTCACAGGTCAGGTCAAAGGTCCAATTTTCACCGTTTACAGGCATTTCAAGAAATGCGTTGTAAAATCGAGTAAAATGCATTTCATTGAAAATCATCGATGGGGAAATGTTCTTCAAACACATATTTTGCTAGTTGAGGTCACTGATACCAGGTCAGGTCACTGAGGTCAGGTCACTGGGGGGTCACAATATGAAAGTGTCGTGTGATACATGTTTTATGGTCCATTTTACATGACAAATGCGATTATGTGGGTCAGGCAGCCTTTGGGGCCAGCTTAGGTCACGTTTTGGTCAAGGTCAGGTCAAGGTCAGGTCAAGGTCAGGTCAAATTAGGTCAAATTTCAAAGTTGATATTTTTTGCATAAAATGGGTATCGAATCGATGCAGCTCGTCACGGGGAGTTCAATGATGGTCTTTGTTTTGCCGTACGAGGTCTAGAATCGCTAAAAATTGAGTTCAAAAATTTGACGTCATCATTTTTGAACAGTTTTTTCGCTATAACTTGGCCAAAAAACGAGATATCGATCTGAAA